TCGTCCCACCCCGCCGCGTTCATCCCACCCCGGTCTGGCAGCCCGAGCCGGTTCCTGCGAAGGGGGACAACCCGGACACCGTCCCAGAGCCAGCCCCCCCCACCTGCCTGGCTGTGGCACCCACAAGCTGCCAGCTCTGCCCGGACCCCCCCGTGCCCCTCCTGCCGTCCCTGCCGCAAGGACCAGCTCCTGTGGGGTCACCCCCGCATCGTCCCCTCGCTGCCTTTGTGATGCATGGACACCCTGTCCCCCCACTTCATGCCAGGGACCATCTGCCACCTGGGATCTGGTGGGACTCCTGCCCAGGGCTCCCCCCACCCCCGGCGCTGAGCCCCCCAGTTCCACGCTGACCCTCACCCACCCCAAGGACGTCGCAGGCCTGGAGCTGAGCCGTCGCTGTCCCGACAAGGTGACACGAAGCTCTCCCCAGCCCTGCCTCCCACTGTGCCTCAGTTTCCCCATTGCCAGGGAAAGGGAGGGGGGCTGCTTGGGGTCTGGGGGATCAGTGCCTTGCTGGGGCTGGGGGTGCAGCCCCCCCCATGGCTCCAGCCGCCTTCTCGGTGCCTTTTCCCCCTCGGGGATCCCTCCCGGGGAGCAGGGAGGGAGCTGGGCCCCTCACCCTCCTCGTGGCTTTCTCTGTTGTTCTTCCTCTTCCTCCTTTTTTCAGGTCTGCCCCAATAAAGGTGATTTTTTTCCTACGCAGGTGGCCCGTGATGGGGAAGGGGGCACCCAGCCGTGCCACCGGCTGCTCCCCCATCCCTGTCCCCACGGTGCCAAGGGGCTCAGCCCCACATCCCCCTCCTGGTGGGCAACAGGGGGGTTCTCAGCCCCAGTCCCTGCTGCTCCCCGTCCCCCACCATGGCACCAGGGCCAGGGCACGCAGATGGGGGACGCTGGGCCAGTAGCCCCAGCCGGGGGGCCAGCAGCCGGCGGGCAGATGGGCTGCCCGGCGGGAAGTGGCACAGCGCGGAGGACGTGCCAAGGTCGGGAGCGGTTTCTCCTGCTCAGATTGCCTTTCCCCTCCGCAGCGATTTCTCCTGCCGGGCAGGAAGCCTGCGGCCGGCAGCGCCATGAATTATTCAGGGGCTGAAATGACTGGGGGGGGGTGCAGGAGGTTGACCTGGTCTCCTTGAGCCGGGATGGGTGACCATTGTGGGGGCTGCCCGTGGCTGTGGTGCCCACACAAGGGATGCACCAGCAAGAGTTTGGCATGTGGCATGTCCTCCTGGCCATGTCCTTGCCAACTGGCGTGTGCCACCCTCCCGGCTGGGGACGGCCACAGGAGCTGGTTGTTTGCAGTATGGATCTGGCTGTGTGTGTCGTGTGTGTGTGTGTCCCCCAGCCCCAGGGCTGCTCTGCGTCACCCGTGTTTACCTGGCAGCGGGGATGTCTCCAGGCAGCACCAGGCACTCCAGGTCTCCCCGGGGCCGCTGGCACCACCGCACACCCTCCTCCCCGCCGCTGGCACCGCACGGCACCGCGGGGCCCCAACGTGTGACACCCCCGCAAAGGGCACATCCACCTGCAAGCTGGGCTGGTGTGGGCGATGTCCCCAGCCTGCCTGTGGGACACTGAGGTCCCCAGCCATGGTACGGCACAGCCCTGCCTTCCCGGGGTGCAGGGAAGGAGGTGCCAACCCCAGGGGCAGCCGAGTCACCCCAAAAAAACCAAGGTGCAAAGACTCTGATCCTATTCAGCTCTGGCAGGGGACACCGGGATGGTGTCCTGGTGGCTCCGCTCCCGGTGCCCAGCCCCTCAGGAAGCCCGGGATCCCACCGGCTGCCGTCAGCGCCGGCCGCAGCGTCGGGGCCGGCCCCGCTCCAACAGGCAGGGCTTTGTGCGGGCGCCGACGGCACAGGGGCCACCGAACAGGGCTGCCTTTGTGCCACGCAGGTGAGGCCGCCGCGCCGGCCCCGTGGGCAGACACGGGCTGTGCTGTGCCGGGAGCAGCCCCCCGTTATCCCCTCCCGGGGAGCTGGGGGGGCTGTCAGCCCCCCATGGGGGGTGTGTGTGTGTGTGTGTGCCAGGTCTGGATGGCGGGGGGGCATTGCCAAATGGCACAGGGGTGGTGTGGGTGCGGTGATGGGGCTGTGATGGTGTCCCTGGCAGCAGGGAGGTCACCAAAGTCACTGTGACCTGTCTGCCAGGGACAGGAGGGACTGGGGGAAGTGGTGGTGGTGCCAAGGGGGGAGCGTGGCTGCGGGTTAAAGGCTCACAGAGGGTCCCCGAGCGGTGACAACAAGGGAGGAAGGTGACACCGTGCAGGTGAGTCTTGCAAGATGCCCCGTGTCCCCAGGGCTCAGCTCGTTCTCCTCCCACTGGGGGCTGGAGGGGTGATGGCCAGGCACTGGGGTCTCCCCCCGACGGGGAGAAAGGAGGGTCCTACCCCCACCCAGAGCCCTGCCAAGGCCAGCTCACAGCGAGTGACAGTGACAACACGGGCTGGGACTGCCATCTGCCGGCACACAGCAGTGTCCCTTCCCGGCAGGAAGGAAGCCAGGCAGGTCAGGGACACACAGAATCACAGAATCACAGAGTCTTCTAGGTTGGAAGGGACCTTAAAGATCATCTTGTCCAACCGTCAACCTCACTGACAAAAATAGACACCCACACAACAAACAAGGAGCATCATCACTAAACCAGACCTCCCAGCACTACATCAACCCGGCTTTTGAACACCTCCAGGGATGGGGCCTCAACCACCTCCCTGGGCAGCCCATTCCAATGGCTGAGAACCCTTTCAGTGAAAAAATTTTTCCTAATATCCAGCCTGACACAGACACGCTCACGCCATCAGCCCTCAAATGGCACTTTTACTGCCACCATGTCCATGGCACCGTGGGGGTCCCAGCTCCAGCACTGAGCCTGTGGGGTGCCCCGAGTCAAGGTGACGGGGCTGTGGGGCTCAGCAACAGAAGAGCACCATGGGGACAACCATCCCTGTCAAGTCCTGGGGTCCGTGGGGATGGGGGAGGCTCAGCTCCTCCAGGCTGAGCTCAGCGGGGGACCCTGTGCCTGGGACCCCGGGGGCTGCCCTGCGCCGCCTCCCGCTGCTGCTGTTTGCGCCTCTGGATGTCCCGATAGGCCTGGATGACACGTGCTCTCTCCTCCTCCACAATGCGCCGGCGAGCCATCGACACCGGGGCTGCTGGGGACACTGGGGACACCTGGCTCTGGCCCAGGTGAGACGTCAGGAGGAGCCGCTTGCGTCCAGCCTGCGGGCAGAGAGGGGGACAGGTCAGGGAGGATGAAAAAACCAGGACCAGGCTCCAAGGAACCGTCACCAGGAGGCTGAGGTCACCACTGCCCTTTCCAGGCATGACTTCCAGCCCAAAGGAGGTGAGATGAGCCGGGTCCGGCCAAAAAGTGTGGGTACCTGAGAGCACAAACGAGGGGTGGGAGGCATTTTCCACCCCCTAGAACTCACCTGCTCCATGGGGCCCTGGCCCCTGGGCCGGGAGGTGATGGTGGGCGGCTGCGTAACCACTTCACCGAATGCCACCGTGTCTATGAGAGAGAAGAGGGTGCAGGCGTCGGGCAGGAGCACCCCAGGAGACACACAGCTCCAGCTCATCCCATACCTCTCCATGCGCTGCCGGGACAGGACATCACTCCAACCACCCCCCTGCGCCAGACCCACCTTGGAACAGGCTCTTCTCTAGCATGGCTTCTTTCTTCTCCTCCTTCTTCCTCCGTGCTTTTTCCAGCTTTTTATTCTGAAACCTGAAGAGCCGCGTTATGGCCAGGGCTTGTGACCAGACATGGAGCAAGTGAGTGAGTTCCTACCCCATGGGATCCCCCCAAAACCTGAGGCCCCACAGCTCCCCCCACTTCCTCTGGCACCAGCTTCCTTCAGCTCCAGCCCAGCAGCAGGAGGGTGAAGAAGGTCTGTGGCTCTGATCTCCCAGATTTGACCCACAGATTTGGCCCACAGCCCCCCACCTGCACCCCGAGGGGCTGCCAGATGCCAGACCTGCCCTGCAGCACCAGCAAAGCACCCACCACCTGCCCAGAACCGGGCAGGGGCACAGGGCTGGGCTGACCCCGTCCCCCCACGGCCATCTCCTGCTCTCACTCTTTCTTTCTCTTGGACTTCTCCGGTGCCGTCGCCTCCTTCTCAGGCTCCCGCTGCAGCTGGTTCTTGGTGAGGAACAGGACACGCTGCACCTCCTGCTCCATCCGGCAGATGTAGGAGCGCTCCGACTCCTTCTTCCCTCTCTTGACCTTGCGCACGGGGATGTCTCCGGGGGCCTTGGGACCCTTCGACTTGGGCTGCTGCTTCTTCTCTAGGAGAGACGGGTGACATTACTGCAGCGGGGACAAAGCCAGGGGATGGGACATCACCGGGAGGAGTAGGACACCCCACTGCAGGATCCGGCTGCCTCCAGCTGGCACCGTGGCACTGGGGGCTCCTCGGCCAGGCCCCCAGGGAACCAGGCTCAGGTGATGTCCATGTCCCACCTGCCGCCTGCCTCTTCCCGAGGTCAGGGCGCTTCATGGCCTCGCGGCTCTTGATGAGCTCCCGCAGGCGGAAAGGCATCTCCTGCTCGTCGGGGTGCTTGGGCTTCATGTTCTCCATCTTCTTCTCCTTCCTGGGAGAGAACAAACGCGGGGTGAGACCTGTCATGAAGCATCGGGACTCAGCCACGGGGGGACACCGGGACTCGGCCACAGAGGGACACGGTAGCAGTGGGGACACAGCGACCCAGGCACCAAGAGCCGGCCATGAAGGTACGTGGGGACCGGATACCGGAGCACCTGCACCCGGTGAGGGACCAGCGGACCCGGGCACGGCGGGACAACGGGACCTGCACGCAGGGGGGGCAGCGGGGACGCAGCCTGAGGAAGCGGGGCCCCCACCAGAGCCCAGCCGGGCCGAACCGGGGGCCGGCCAGCCCCGATCCCGACCGGATCCCCCCGGGGTACTGACCTGCCGCGGCGCGGGGCGGCCGCTCCCCGCCCCGGTCCCGGTCCCGATCTCTGTACTGGTGCCGATCCCGGTTTCTGGCCCTGGCGCTGGCCCCGGCCCGGTTTTTGTCCCTGTCCCGGTCTCTGTCCATGGCCCCGGCCCGGCCCCCGGCCCATGTCGCCGCCGCTCCCCATGCGGTTTCCCCGCCGCCACTTCCGCCTTCCCTCCGGCCCGCCAGGGCTTTAGCCCCGCCCCTCTCTCCCTATTGGCTCCGTTCGGCCGCCGACCCCTCATTAGCAGTGAGCGCCGTGTTGCTATTGGCTGGGAGAGCTGCCGCTCGGGCGGGCGGGGGCGGGG